TTGTTTTCTCTCTCTCTCTTTATCATGATGTACCAAGAGGATAGTTGAAATGATTGATGAGGATTATTTTATTATTTTCGTTTTTTATTATTTTGGTTGTTTGTATTGGGAGGTTGTTAAAGTTACGGGTTGATTGTTAAGGTTACGGGTTAGTTGTTAAGGTTAAGGGTTTGTTGTTAATGTTATGAATCCTCTCTCTCTCTCTCTTTCTTTTTTTATTAAAATATGATGGGGATTATTTTATTAATTTTGTTTTCTCTCTCTCTTTATCATGATGTACCAAGAGGATAGTTGAAATGATTGATGAGAATTATTTTATTATTTTTATTTTTTATTATTTTGGTTGTTTGTATTGGGAGGTTGTTAAAATTACGGGTTGATTATTAAGGTTACGGGTTGGTTGTTAAGGTTAAGGGTTTGTTGTTAAGGTTATGAATCCTCTCTCTCTCTCTTTCTTTTTTTATTAAAATATGATGGGGATTATTTTATTATTTTTGTTTTCTCTCTCTCTTTATCATGATGTACCAAGAGGATAGTTGAAATGATTGATGAGGATTATTTTATTATTTTTATTTTTTATTATTTTGGTTGTTTGTATTGGGAGGTTGTTAAAGTTACGGGTTGATTGTTAAGGTTACGGGTTGGTTGTTAAGGTTAAGGGTTTGTTGTTAAGGTTATGAATCCTCTCTCTCTCTCTTTCTTTTTTTATTAAAATATGATGGGGATTATTTTATTATTTTTGTTTTCTCTCTCTCTTTATCATGATGTACCAAGAGGATAATTGAAATGATTGATGAGGATTATTTTATTATTTTCGTTTCTTATTATTTTGGTTGTCTGTATTGGGAGGTTGTTAAAGTTACGGGTTGATTGTTAAGGTTACGGGTTGGTTGTTAAGGTTAAGGGTTTGTTGTTAAGGTTCTGAATCCTCTCTCTCTCTCTTTCTTTTTTTATTAAAATATGATGGGGATTATTTTATTATTTTTATTTTCTCTCTCTCTCTCTCTTTATCATGATGTACCAAGAGGATAGTTGAAATGATTGATGAGGATTATTTTATTATTTTCGTTTCTTATTATTTTGGTTGTTTGTATTGGGAGGTTGTTAAAGTTACGGGTTGATTATTAAGGTTACGGGTTGGTTGTTAAGGTTAAGGGTTGGTTGTTAAGGTTATGAATCCTCTCTCTCTCTCTCTCTTTCTTTTTTTATTAAAATATGATGGGGATTATTTTATTATTTTTGTTTTCTCTCTCTCTTTATCATGATGTACCAAGAGGATAGTTGAAATGATTGATGAGGATTATTTTATTATTTTCGTTTTTTATTATTTTGGTTGTTTGTTTTGGGAGGTTGTTAAAGTTACGGGTTGATTGTTAAGGTTACGGGTTGGTTGTTAAGGTTAAAGGTTTGTTGTTAAGGTTATGAATCATCTCTTTCTCTCTCTTTCTTTTTTATTAAAATGTGATGGGGATTATTTTATTATTATTTTCTCTCTCTCTTTATCATGATGTACCAAGAGGATAGTTGAAATGATTGATGAGGATTATTTTATTATTTTCGTTTCTTATTATTTTTGTTGTTTGTATTGGGAGGTTGTTAAAGTTACGGGTTGATTATTAAGGTTACGGGTTGATTGTTAAGGTTAAGGGTTTGTTGTTAAGGTTGTGAATTCTCTCTCTCTCTTTCTTTTTTTATTAAAATATGATGGGGATTATTTTATTATTTTTGTTTTCTCTCTCTCTTTATCATGATGTACCAAGAGGATAGTTGAAATGATTGATGAGGATTATTTTATTATTTTCGTTTTTTATTATTTTGGTTGTTTGTATTGGGAGGTTGTTAAAGTTACGGGTTGATTGTTAAGGTTACGGGTTGGTTGTTAAGGTTAAGGGTTTGTTGTTAAGGTTGTGGATTTGTTGTTAAGGTTGTGGATTTGATTGTTAAGGTTACGGGTTGGTTGTTAAGGTTAAGGGTTTGTTGTTAAGGTTATGAATCCTCTCTCTCTCTCTTTCTTTTTTTATTAAAATATGATGGGGATTATTTTATTATTTTTGTTTTCTCTCTCTCTTTATCATGATGTACCAAGAGGATAGTTGAAATGATTGATGAGGATTATTTTATTATTTTCGTTTTTTATTATTTTGGTTGTTTGTTTTGGGAGGTTGTTAAAGTTATGGGTTGATTGTTAAGGTTACGGGTTGGTTGTTAAGGTTAAAGGTTTGTTGTTAAGGTTGTGGATTTGTTGTGTAGGTTACGGATTTGTTGTTAAGGTTACGGGTTTAATTGGTTGTGTAGGTTACGGATTTGTTGTTAAGGTTACGGGTTTAATTGTTAAGGTTACGGGTTTAATTGTTAGGGTTACCTATCTAATTGTTAAGGTTACGGGTTTAATTGTTAAGGTTACGGGTTTAATTGTTAGGGTTACCTATCTAAAGATCCTCTTGGTACATCATGATAGAGAGAGAGAGAGAGAAATAATAAAATAATCCCCCATCATATTTTAATAAAAAAAGAAAGAGAGAGAGAAGGGTATTATGGTCTTCACATGTTTTAATGTCTTAGGTTTTGTGTTTTGGGGGCTCAGAGAACAAAATCTTTATTTTTAGGGGTAAAACACCCATTGACCAAGTCTTGGGGGGTGAGAAGCACGTTCACTTGGCTTTTGGGGGCTGGAAGCATTTTTCCCTATAAATAATGATAATTGCATTACTTTCTCATACGCTACTTCTACACTATAAGAAAGACAACTCCTCTAACAAGTCATCTGTTTGTCAAAATTTAAAAAGAATGGGCCTTACATTTTCCTCTCTCAAATAGTGCAAAAGTGTTATAGGCTACAAGTTAAACAAGTATTAATCTTAAACAAGTATTAATCTCTGCTAGGAAGCTAACGCATGTCCACCCCCATGTTTAATCAGATCATTCCAGAAATCAGCAACTCGAGTTGTACCTGCGGCCGATTCCATAAGCCGACAACTTGCGTAGCCAACTAAAAAAGCAATCCTTGTCAGCCTACCCACCAGATCGATTCTATGAGTACCCGCACTCGGCCTATTGTTCCAGCCGACAACTAGCGTACGAACTAGAAAAACGGTGTTTGTCGGCCTTTAGCTAGACAGCTACAGAGGCGGTGTGTCCACGAACCCCCGCCAACAACCAACTACCCTCGCATTAGCTATTGTGACCAAGTCATCATTGCTCTAACCCCTATAATCTTTATGACTTATCGGATCCAGTCAGCTCCAAGCAACTGATGTCTTCCCCACAATAAACTATTGGATGACTCATTTTCGCCAACGACTGACACCTATCAATTGTCTGCCAAGTTAGCTGCCTGTTTCGACTCAGCTCAAGTTACCTATATGTCTTTCTGATCCACTATAAAAGGAAGCCATGCAGCTCAAGGTAACTCTCTCGCTTTTTCACGCAACTTTGAAATCTTCTTCATAATCATCTCACATTTTCGCACTCAAGTTTATATACTAACTTGATCGTCGGAGGAACAACCAGAGAACCCAACTCCGGCCTCTTACGAGTTCTTCGTGTGCAGAAAAGAACAGCAGGCTTTCGGACCAGCCATCTAAAGAAGCTTGAGGACCCTAACCCAACACTAGTCCTTAAATAAACCCCAATTCAACAAGAAGTATTGGATTATATTATTGCATAGGTGATCATCCAAGATGAGGCTAAGTATTACTGCCAAATTTCAACTTTTTTCAAAAAAGAAACAAAAAGAAAAGAAAAGATGCATGCGTCATCTAACTCATTTCATTTATAAGTTATGTAGTTTTGAAGAAATGTACAATTAGAAGGTGTAAATAATTCTCCAAATTAAATGCTTCTTAGATTTCACAAACATTGCCAAAAAATACTTATATTTTATTGAAAAGGAAAAGGGATAATCTATTTTTACTCTTTTATTAACTGATATTAAAACGGCATGGATGACAATTATTAAAACAAGAAAAAGAATTAGATTATGTTGGCTTTTTTTCCATCTTTCCAAACATTATATTTTTTTTGACAAACATCTTATTTGAAAGGCATAGGGTAAATTCAGTATGCGTTAGGTTCATATTACTCTTTTATTAACTGATATTAATTTGTTTTCCGTCTTAACTCACTGTTAGAAGAACGTATTCAACTATAAAGCATTAAATATACAACTCAGGTATACTCAACAAAATGTATCCGTCCATTGTCAGTGTGTCAACAAATCTTGAAGTTCAATAAATAACAAATTTATTTATGTTGATTCCTGGAATTCACTTGAGTTGCGTGACAAAATTTTCTCTGAAGTAAGCAGAAAATTGATCAAATTGTGCAAATTTTGGTCTAAGCTATGTAGGTGAATTTTTTTTTTTTTTTAAATGTTGATGCTGGTGATCGCAAGAGAAACTTAATAAAACCAACTACTAGTGTGCAGCAATCTGATGTGGTTGGAAATGTTCTCAAAGGAGGAGTTTTACATTTTAAGGAAAGAAACGGCGGAAGATGTTTCTCCTAAAATTGATTAAGAAATAAAGAAGAAAAAAATCACTCAGTTTCTCTGTATGTTCGGTGAAATCTGAAATAAAGTGGCTTTCAAGCCCTATTTAAAAGAGTTAGGGTTCCTCAATTTTTTAAAACCTAGCTGTTCCCTTTTTTTAAACCAAAACAATTGATTTTTCTACCATATTGTCATAGCTTATGTAACTTAGCGAAAACAAACGACAACGAAAATACGGCACTTCTACTTCCCTCATCACACTCCAAACTGGATGAAACTTTTGAGATTTGCATACTAACATTAAACATTGTTACCGTCAGGACTCGGTGCACAAGTACAGATTCTATCGGAACACCTTCTATGAATTGATTTATACCATTCACATGTGGTTAACTGGTTAGTTTGAGAATTGTAATTATTTTATCTATAATTTAACCACTCCTTTCCCATAATAGTGGTTCTGGTAAGATTTCTACTGTTTGTGCACCATCTAACAGACACGGAGCACTGATGATTTCTCAAAACATTCAAAGCATATGCAAGCGTACAACTTACAAATTTCAGCAGATATACATCAATCAAGTGAAGACATAAATAGACGTAAAACTATACATTTCTGTTCCCGTAATATAAGATTCCCTCCTTTACCTGAACCACATACATGATGTACACAACTTGGAATTTTAACGGTTTCCGGACACAATATGAGACTTGTTATTATTGAATCCGTAGCCACAGGTGGACAACTTACAAAATCTTGGCCTCGATTTCCTCCAGCGTAAGCCCCTTTGTTTCTGGTATGAAGAAGAATATGAAGAGGAGAGAGAGCAAGGCAAGGATCCCAAACCCTGCAAAAAGGACACCAGTACCTACAAGATCCTGCAATCACATCAAGTGAAACTAATAAACATGAGGCAGAGGTAGCACTGATGACAATGAAGAACAATCACCATAAACATTAATTAGATAAGATTGATTGCTAAACAATCTCGCGGTTATAAAGTTCAGGCCTCTATGTCTCTGAGGTGTATGGGAGACTCACTTTTCTCTCCAAATTGGGAAAGGGGTTATAAGTTGGCGTTAACATGCAGGAAAAGGGAGAGAATGTGTTTAATTTGCATGTGAGGACAATTATGAAAGTGGTAAATATAAGACTGACGATGCATCAATTTTTCTATAAGATTGCTCCTGAGATATGGGATGGTTCTAAGGGGAAAAAGAAGTGGTGATTAATTCCCTCTCTATTTGTTTTGCTAGAAACAAACCAGCAAAGACGTGACCCATCAAATATATGCTCGTCTCAAAAATAATAGCCATCTAGAAACTATACAATTTGGTTTTTCCATGCAAAAGCATGATAATTAGTGAATCCAACATAAAAGTTTAGGGTACATATGAGGGGAAAAAAAACCCTTAACTTCGGACAATAATCACACAACCCCCCTTAAGTTTAAAAATATCAGAAGACGGTGCCCCCCCCCCACCAAACAAAAATTTGCTCGCCTCCTCTCAAGTTTAGGGGTTATCAGAAAACTTCAACTCAAGTTTATCCAAAAATTGCCTAACAGCTTAAACTGGCAATTTGTCAGCATGCTGGTAAAAAACACGACGCTTTTTTCGCTGTGAAAATTGTGGTTCACAGACTTTTCGGGGGGGCTTTCTGATCACATTTTAAAGTTAAGGGGGCTTTACTGCATAACTAAACTCGGGGGGGGGGGGGGGGGTCTGATATTTTGAATCTTTAAGGGGGTTATTTGATAATCGTCCAAATTTAAGGAGGGCTTTCTGATATTTAGCCTAAAAGTATATATGTTACAGCTACCAATGCAATAGGAGAAAACACACTCATTTGGTTATGGCAATCCTAGATCCATATGTTTTTGATGTTAACATACAAATCATGTCTTTACTACAATCCGGATAATCACTAAGTCCCCGTGGAATCAACAAAATGTACCCATACCCCTTGTCAGTCATGTCAAAGAAACATACATGAATTTTATGTAATATTGAGTATCTATGGCAGGCTATCTAGAATGAATAGACTCCATCAAGAAAGCATCTCAGGGATGTAGCTAGAGTATCCTTCTTTTAAGAAAGAGTATACTTGCATAGGAGAAAATCTAGCCTGATTTGGAATAACTGGCTGCCAGATATATGGTGCTGGAGGAAATGTCACAGATAGTTTAACTAGAGAGGTGTTTGCTTAACATTTTTCCATTAATGTTTCAATTGATACTTCATTTAGACTATTACTATGAAAATTTATGGTTATCACGTTTTGGGAATCATATCAACTAAAACATTAAAGTATTTTCGATCCCCACACAAAAAGGGACATGCAACATCACCCCATCATGAAGTTCAAAAGAGAGTACCATAAATCTAATCTAAGACACTTTTTAGTTTTTACAAATCAAATTAATTTACATGACTATAAGTCTAGACTAAACTATCATATTGACATGTCAGGAAATTGAAAGGAAATTAATGGATCATCATTGGTATGTATCCATTATATGGTAATGGTGTATACATTCAAACAAAGATTGAGGATAGACATTTTCATACCCTAACTATTTTAGCCAGCCAAGTAATTGCATGAGTTTGATGAATCTTTGCATATTAAAGGACCATGAATATGCATGCTTGAAAACATGCATATTCTTAGTTGCCAAAAGTTCCAGAGCATCTTACCCCGATTGGCGAGAAAGCAAAAGTCACCAAAGCATTTGAGGCGAAGTTAACAAGCACTGCTATACTCAATCCACGCCCTCTCAGACGCAGAGGGAAAATCTCAGAAATCATCAACCAACCAATGGGGCCAAATGACAACTGCAGAAAAAGTTTTCTTTAAAAGTTTACTACTAATAATAGCTCAAACTTTTAGTTGATAAAAGTGCTCATATTCATTGCAAAGACAAGCATGCCATACTACAGAGTACAGGCTATAAAAACACCAAGAAGAATGAACACACAAGACAAAAGACTGCAACATAAATCAAGAGCAGTTTTATTAATATAATGTATCCAGAGAATGAGGAGGGAGAAAATGCACCTGATAACAGCCAACATACAGCAGCAGTGCAATTACTGCAACAAATGCAGAACCCTTGAACAACATATAATATGATGAAAGTAGGAACAGGGAAACAGTCTGCAACATCACGAGATAATACGTTCATTAGACGTGCATATCATATAGAAGTCGGAAAATGAACAATAGTAAATGTTTCCTGTTCTCTAAGGATCTTCTTTCCATATTCTATGAGATCATGGAATTCAACCTGTTCGCATATGCAGGTATCATGCACATCTATGCAATTCTATAATGGTCTAGCTATTTTTCTATATAACTAATTTGTAGTGCCTAACTATTAGTTACTAAACTGCAAGGCAGTTCTCCTGGATACCATGTTTAGTTGGTATAAAGTTCATGGATACAGATGAGGAAAAATATACGAAAGCCCGTTACATATCTGATGTTGCTAGAATAAGTTGTATTTCCTGCAGATTCCTTTAAATGGGTATATCCATTATCAATATAATAATAATAATAATAATAATAATAATAATATACAGTATTTCTCAACAAGAAAGAAGAAAATGATTGATAAGAAATTCGCTCGATTAACCTAATCAAATGTTCTCTGATATGGTTATATAAAAGACATGGGTTTAAATTTGATTTGCGGTCCACAAGGAGTTAACCTGCGAGAATAGAAGAACCTACATCTGGGTCTAGTAGATGTATGGGCTGTCTAGTTACTACTTATGTAAGAGTAACGCTGTTAAAAATTGACAGCAAGAGACAATATACTTACAATCCCACTAACACCACCAATGAGCAAAGGCCTCCTCCCGATTTTGTCCACCACGAGAACCGCAATTCCAGTCATTATCAACTACATAAGAAAGTAGATAACGTATTAATCCTTGGTACAAAACAAGCTGTCAAGCTATCAAGCTGTGCAAGACGAAGTTATCTCCTCTCGTAAAGTGAAATGAGAAGATAAAATCCAAAACTTCTTGCATAAAGAAGTCTAGTTCATTAATGAAATAAAGAGAAATATAGAAGAATGTGCAGGTGGGGCTTAAGTTACAGTAGGGAACTAAAAGTATCAAGTTATGGAAAGAAAAATGGTTTCACCTTCTTAAGAATTTTTTCCAGAAGTGATAAAATGTTAAGGAACAAGTACAGTGAGGAATCCACAACTCAGAATAATTGCAAATTAGAAGCATATACTCGTGACTTAAATATGACACACGTCTGCCCATCAATCTCACAAGAAAAACCAATCAAATCTATCAGTCACTACATCCAAGCAGAGGGACACTATCTCACTGTCAGTTACAAGGAAAAAGGGGAAAATAAGAAGAAAATGATTCAATATATCATCCAGTCTTCTTTTGATCGCCATGATTAACATCTGGCACAGAACTGGATATTGTTATCAATTTTAACATAATGTGTTGTGGTGTGACTAAAATCCCGAAGTAATTCGATTTCGAAATCTTCAACCATGATTGCATGTGGTAGTCATTAGAATTTGAGTTGGTGTAGACATCTTAACTAAGTCTTAATCCTAGTGGAATAAGGACTTTTGATCTAATTGGATTGGATTCCAATAGACCCATGTTGGAGTTCTCATAGTCCAAGTGTTGATAGGATTGATTTGTCACGAATTGGACTCGCATTAAAATTCTATTCCTATACGGTTTCCTATTGGTCAACGACTTGGAGAAGCTCCTATAAAAGAAGGCCCGACAAGTTCTATTAAGCATCATCATCAACTATAGCACCAATATAGAGAGAGAAACAAAGTTTCTTCGGAATCCCGTCCTCATGAATTATCTCTTCTTTTGTTCCTTATATTTAGAGAGATTGTACGGGAATCTTGGGGTGTTATTTGAGATTGAGTGATTGAGAGATCTCCACTTTGTATTCCTCACTATTTAGTAAAGTTTTTCTCCTCCTTCGCCCGTGGATGTAGGCTACAAGCCGAACCACGTATATCTTTATGTTCGTGTGTTCTTGATATATTCCGTGCTTTCTTGTGATTGATATTAGCTTGTCCTGGGGAGTTTTTCATAACAAATTGGTATCGGAGCCCTCAGCTAACGATCGAACGAGAAGATGACGACAACCACTACTAAGTGGGATATCGAGAAGTATGACAACAACATCAGTTTTAGCATTTGGCAAGTAAGGATGATCGTTGTGTTGACACTTAGCGAATTGAAGAAGGTTTTATTTGGGAAGTCGAAGAAACCAGCTACTATGATGGAGAAAGATTGGAACGAGTTGGATGATAGAGCTCTCATAGCGATCCAGTTATGTTTAACAAATAAAGTTTTGCAAGAAGTTCTCACAGAAAAGATAGCCACTGATTTGTGGTCTAAATTGGAGGATTTATATTTGACGAAGTCGCTCATTAATCGTCTCCTCTTGAAGCAACGTTTGTACACACTTCGGATGTCAGAAGGTATACGCATTAAATCTCATATTGATGAATTTAATTCTGTGATTATAGATTTGAGTAAGATTGATGTTAATATCGATAATGAAGATCAAGCCTTATTGTTATTGTATTCTTTACCACCTTCCTACAAGTACTTCAGGAATACTATAATCTATGGTCGAGATTCTATTGGCATCAAGGACATCAAAGAGAACTTGTTCAATAAAGAGAAGATCGACAAAGAGTTGACTACAAGTAAATGTAGCGATAAAGCTGATGGCTTGTTTGCTCGAGGAAGATCGGAAG